AAGAAGAACCCATTGTAGTCCCACCTGTCCTGGGACTGATCAGTTGTTGCCTTCTCCTTAACACTGAATTTGGCTTGGTGGCACACATCTTTCTTTACCATCTGGGTTGTATTGTCAGTTCTGAACTTGAGAAATTTCATAGTATCAAATTATTGAACACCAGATCATCATAATCATTACTCAACACCTCTCTCTCATGATCTTCATGGCATCTTTGATTGTATACTAACACATTATACTTGAGGCCAGTCTGGTCTACAGAGCAAATTCCAGGACAGACTCCAAAGCTACACAGAGAAATCCTGTCTGGGAAAACCAAAATGATGATGATGATGATGATGATGATGATGATAACAACAAAAACAAAAAAAAAAAACCCAACACATTATACATGGCACCAAGGAATGAATCTTAAAAAATTCTGTAGCATTAAAAATGAAATAGATATTGGGTTGCATATCCATAGATTGATCAACTTCTTGTCCAATTCACTTCTTAAAACCATGCTTTTGAAACAGTTTTGGATGTACATAAAGGCTGCAGGAAGTCACACAGAGTCCTGGTTACTTGATGCCCGATATTGAATCTCCAATAATTACCATTCCCCAGAAGTTGATATGCTTGACTACTCATACTCCCTGGTGTTTTTCCTAAGCTCAAGGACACTGCCCTGAATGACCACTTGGCAGCCATCAAAACTCAGAAATACACACTGATCTACTTCCACTATCTAAGACAGGCCTGTTTTCCCAAAGATGCCCTTCATGCTAAAGGGCCAATCCAGAATCACATGTGTTTAGTTTTAGGGTCTGCTTCAGTCTTGGGCAGATCCTTATCTTCCTGATCTTGACTTTTTCTCAAAAGCAAAGGCAAAAGTTATCTTCCTAGACTATACCTTAGTGGGGGTTTGATGCTGTCTTCTGATTTATGTACTTTTTAAGGGTTAGCACAAAAAACAATGCTGTGTTCAGTACTCCCTAACTGGGCAGATAGTATTTATTAATTTGCCCAATCATCTGGTAGGTTAGTCATTTGGTCCCTGGATAGAGGTTGCATTTTTCTAGGTTACTCCATCCAAAAGTTAATTAGTAGGAGTGCAATGAAATCATTAATAATGTATAAGGGCCATATAGGGGAATATTTTGATGCTACATTAGATCAATGAACTCCAATTCTTTACAGCCATTATGCTTTGTGATGTCACCAAATTAATAAACATGGAAGTACTGTTTCTAGAGGATTCATGGATTGGTTCTGTCACAATGTGTTCAACAGCTCATTTATACTTCATTTTATGTTTAAATGTCTGTGTGTAATGGCTGCTGTTGGTTCTTTAACTTTGACATCATGCCAAATGCTTGTAACTCATCGCCAGCAAAAACATAAAGAGAAAAGCGTGACAAACTATTGTGACAAAGACCCACTTTTACCAAGTTAGAGCTGCAAGAAGAAGGCAGGATGTGTTCTCCACCTCTGCTAGGAAAGGAGAGTGTGGATGACTCAAGTTTTTGCTGCTCCATGTCGCTGTGATACTGCTTCAAATATTAATTTTAGGCTTACAAATAAACTTTAGCAAATAGCTATAATGGCCAGTATGAAATCCACAAATAACGAGGATCAGATGTCTCTTCTTCCTGTTTGATTTTCACATAGTTCTTTTAGCGTCCATCAAGCTCAAAGTTGGGGAATCTGTCCATTGAAGTGATTTTTTTTCACTCTCTTCTTCAGTAAGATTTTTCCTGAGCTCATTTTGTATTTTCTGTCTTTCAACTCTGAAGTCATGTCAGACATTTCTTGGTTTCTTTGAGCAGATAATGACTTTTAGAAACCAAGAACTACATGCTGGGTAGGCTCATTCTTACTGGGGTATCATTATGTCAAAAATCCTGTTTGTGACAATGCTAGGAAATAACATGTATGCACTCAAACACATGCATACACTTGTATGTATATATGTATGCCTCTATCTGTTACCTGTCAATCAACCTATCATATATTTTATCTATCTGTTATATATCACTTGCCAGTCAATTTGTTCTATTATATCTATCAGCCATCTATATATAATATCTATCTGTCTGTCTATCTGTCAATCTATTATCATCTAATGAAATTCTCATTTTTCTATGTATCTGTTCATCTAATTGGTTCATATGAGTACCTTCAGTTCTAATTTACTATCTGGTCCTTTTTTTCTACACTTCTAACTCCTTTTCTGGCAGTTAATGATCTGATTTCCATCACTCTTCAATGTAATTATTAGCGCAGTCCCTATATGTAAAAAACCACTCAATTGCAACATCCCAAAATTTAGCCCTAAATTCTTTGGCTCTTTCAGGGCATTTGTGCAGAAAACTAAGTCCCAGCCAATGAATGTGGAGAGTGAAAGATTTATTGGAAGTCTTAACTTTGTTGATTCTTTTTAAGTAATAACTAACTTTGGTTTTACTTATTTATGTATTTTTCCACTAATTTTTTAATGAGATGAGGGAACATTGGTATAAATTTTTCTTGCCCTTGATGCTAAAAGACAATTTTACAAAACCAATTGTCTCTAAAAGAAAATCTAATGTAGGGGCTGGAGAGATGGCTCAGAGGGTTGTGAGACTATACAGATTTTGCAGAGGGCCAGCATTTGCTTCCCAGCACCTGTGCTAACAAGTGCCTGTAACTCCAGCTCCAAGGGATCCTCATATCTCTGGTCTCCAAGGGCACTTGTGTATATACCTACATATAGACATGCACACATACACATAGTTAAAATATTATAAAAAGAAAAACCAATTTGAGGTGATGATTATGACCTAAAACATTTGTGTGATACAAATATCATTTTGTGTTTTATTTTTATTTTTTATCATTTTGTGTTTTAAACTTTTCCTCTTTTCCCAGATGTTTTAGATTCAATATTTTGCCTTTTAATATGCCAACTAAACTTAATTAGAATTTTTGAATGTTGATAATCTCAACTTACCAACTTTGAAATTTTGGATATGACATTTTAATTTAACATTTACTGGAAACATTATGAAATGTTTTTTTTGTTTTTCTCTGGTGTGTTTATCCACATTAAAGGTCAACTCTGCATATTAGCTTTCCCCTTAAAGTCTTAAACCTCACAAGGTTAGGTAAGACCATGAAAATTGCATTTAATTGTATTTTGAAATGTCGTGAGCTAATATTTTCTACTTCCTGAGTTTTAGATTCTAGTAAGTGGGAGGATATGAACTTAGTATTAGTGTATTAAAAAGTCATCATTTGATCTCCTATGAATGCATTATTTTAACTTGTTTGATTTTTACACAAATATGACTATATGCACATATTTATGTGTTTCTCTAGTTTGCTTTAGTTATCAATTATTTTTTGTAATTCTTTTTTAAATTTAGCTCTGTACCCGATTTTTACTTTTTGTAATTCTTTTGTGCAAGCACAAACAGCTGTTTCATTTTTAAAGATTTATTTTTATGTATATGAGTACTCCATCTGCATGTATAACTTTTTGTCAGAAGAGGGTTTCAGATCCCGCTATAAACAGTGTGAACCACCATGCCAATGCTGGGAATTGAACTCAGGACCTCTGGAAGAGCAGCCAGAGCTCTTAACCACTGAGCCATCTCTCCAGTCCATAGCTGTTTCATTTTTAATGTCCACCTCATATTAACTTATACGGATATTGCATAATTTGTTTGAACATTTCCTATCCATTAGCCATCCCACATTTTATATTATAAATGATTTTGTATCTGTAGGATGTTCTATTAAGAACTATTAAGCCTAGTCCTAAGGATGAGGTCTTCCACCCTGAGATGGTGAGCCTCATTTCTGGGTTCTTTCACCTTAGGATATCATGGCCTTTTGTTCTTCAATTCTAAGTACCCCATGTTCTCATTCCTTGCGATTTCTTTAGCTGTGATTATTTCCTGTTTTATAAACAAGGCTGAAAGATCAGATGTACAGCATCAACAGCACCTACCTGTTGCTCTGCTTTCGGCATCTGCAGTGTGGGACCAAAGACATGCCAACTCTGAAATGCATCTTGGAGTGAGAAAGGAAGAAAAGGAAGGATGCATCTGGGTCATGAGGAAGCAGAAATTTTGAGTCAGGTGTAGATTAGAAGAAAGGACATATGATAGGTAGGGTTTTAGTTGGAGGGTGGTAGTGGAGGAAGGGAGGGAGACGAGAACTGGGATCATAATGTAATTCAATCTTGTTTGTAATTCAAATATATAAAAATAAAAAACTTAAAAAAAGAGAGATGGGTCAACTTTAAAGAGAGCCTGCTACTTTTTCTGACTCAAAATCAGCAGTAACTCCAGGCCAGAGGATCTACTGCCTTTTTCTGGTTTCCTAGGGCATCCACATACCCTTATGCATTCATGAACAAACTCTCTCTTTTACACACATACACACAGAGTAAATAATAAATCAAAATTTAAAATAGGGTAATGCAACTTATAGTGGTAGCTGGGTGAACTGGAAATTATAATGTAGGATTAGACCACAGGTAATTTTCATATTAAAGAACCTTTAGGGTCTTAACATAAAATGTATTTTAATTAATGAAAAATGCAAATAATTTTATTGGCTGGATGCTGTTTATGAAGACATTTGGATGTGATTTTAGATGCTATTTCCTTCATTATCCTGTCTGAGAATTAAGAAGCCCTACTCTAAGAACAGGGATGGTTTCAAATGTCATCAGAAATGGGGCCATGCTGGCATATGCCTTTAATCCTAGTACTCAGAAAGCAGAAGTAGTGGGGTCTCTGTGTTCAAGGCCAGCCTGATCAACAGAGTGAGTTCCAGTACAGTCAGGGCTACACAGGGAAACCTCTGAAAAAAAAAAAAAAAACAGAAAAAAGGGGGAAAAGCATCATAAGAGCTTTTTGTCTGTTGCCAGAGACTATTTTCAGTACATAAGAAAAAAAAAGTTCAGTTTTCTTTTGTTTTCCATCCATTGTTTATAACATTCATGTATCATTTTTGTCATTTTGTAGACCTACCAAGAGCAGCTGTCAGGATCTTAAGCAACATGACATTCCTTTTTGTGAGTTTGTCATACACAGCTGAGAGTGCCATTGTCACTGCTTTCATTACCTTCATCCCCAAGTTCATCGAGTCACAGTTTGGTATCCCAGCTTCCAATGCCAGCATCTACACTGGTAAGGTACTGCCACAGGGCTCCTTGAAACGTGGTCATTGTGTCCATAGACGGAAACGAGTGAGTGGGGAGGAAGGCCAGGCTCACACCAAGTGTTCACCAAGTGTGCTTCCAGCTCCTGGTGCCTCCGGGTTTGTGAGGAAAGCCAGGGGTGTGCTCCCTAAGATCCCCATTATATTCATGCGATATGTTTACTAACTGTGTTTTGAAAGGGGAGAATATTGCATATTTATGGCTTTTGTGGACCTCAGTTAGAAAAAGTGAAATCAGCAGTGAGATTCACATTTAGATGAGTGTTGATCTTCTTGTGGGTTAAAATGGATCTTAAAATGTTGTGAAGTAAATGATGTCAAATCTGCATCAGTTCCACAGTGTCAGGATTTTCCACTCATAAACCTGAATAGATTTCGATAGAATTACCAGAGATGCATGACACTTAAAGGGATGTTTTATATACTTGATTTTAGATGTTTTATGTCTAGTTCGGCTGAGGTTTTAGAAGAATTAGGTATGTGTCCTTGTAGGACTTAGCAGTTAAACCTTATTTGATAGTAAATATGATACTTACTATTGTGGGAAAATTAATTCTCAGATACTGGGGGAATTACGTTGTTATGTAATATTCTAAAACTTCCATATTAAAGATGGCCAATCTACCAAAAGCTTGATTTCTCAATAAAGGATAATTAAATATTTTTGAATAAAAGATTTTCACATAGCTTGGTTTCCTACCTTTTCCTATTTCTACATTTAAACCCAGCAAGCTTGAATTATCTAAAAATGAACAGAAAAAAATCACTGTAAAAAGAGCAATTGACTTGAAATATCTGTTTGCTTGTCTGGTAACCACTCTGTTTGCTTCATCTTGTATATAGAAAGGCATAAAGACCAGCTGTGTGCCCATGGTTGTAAATTGTTTAATAAATGATATATTGCTGTTGACTACTGTAATTTGTGAGTTAAAATGTGTTTGCTTTCTCTTGCTTTCAAAACTGCTTTCTGGCATCGATGCGACAGCCACAGATCATGTTTCTGTCAGGTTGGCTAACAGAAAACGGATGTTCCTGTTCTTAGTCTAACTCTTACACTGGCCTTCACTGAACAGTGATTGCTGGACCGGGGAGCCAGGAACTGCTGGGAGTACATTCAAAAGCTAGAGTACTTTCACAATTCCCTATGCTAAGTTTCATATGAAAAGGTGTGAACAGGAAGAAGGGGAATGCTGTGTTAAAGAAAGTGCTATAGGGTTCTCACTGCATCCCCTCTTTTTCAGCCACCTTCCCTATGTCAGCATGCAATGGGAGACTCCCAGAGGGAAATGCAGACCATGATTTTCTTCAGGCTTATTTGACTATGAAACTCAACCTTTAATTAATTAATTAATTAATTAATTAATTAATTTTTGTTTTTAGAGACAGGGTTTCTCTGTGTAGCTTTGGAGCCTATCCTGGCACTCACTCTGGAGACCAGGCTGGCCTCAAACTCACAGAGATCCACCTGCCTCTGCCTCCTGAGTGCTGGGATTAAAGGCGTGCGCCACCAATGTCCGGCTTCAACCTTTAATTTAATCATCATGATATCATCATTTATTTGTGTGTGTGTGTGTGTGTGTGTGTGTGTGTGTGAGAGAGAGAGAGAGAGAGAGAGAGAGAGAGGGAAAGAGAGAGAGAGAGATCGATCATCTCAGTATTTTGTTTCATTTATTTTGAAACTGATCTCACTATGCAGCCTAGGATGGCCTGGAACTCATGATCCCACTGTCTCAGCCTCTACATGCAGAGACCATCTATGTGAGCCATCACATCTCACAGAAACCTCTTTCCGATGAACAGTTTTCGTTTGGTTAAATTCTGGGATCCAGTCATGTGTGTCCCTATTCCAACTACACTAGCAACTCCAGAGCTGTCTAAGTAATCCCATCGCCCTCCATGTCTATGGTTTTCTCTCCAAGTCTCCAGGGCAGGTTGCAGCTGAAGTGAATTGGATGCAGACTGTGGGGCCATCTTTTAAGTACAGGTATGGAAGAGGCTTTCTAGACAATTCTATGAGGTAAACTGGAGGGAGAAGTTCAGTGTGAGCTGGAGGTTGGATGTGGAGCTTCCCAGCAGTAGAGACACTTGTCTAATTGAGGCTAGCTCACAGAGGCTGTTTCCCCTTTAGCCCACACTGTAACTCCAGGATGAGGGAAGGCACTTGACTAAGCATGATTCCATTCTGGTTGCAGCATCCACCAGCAGTTTTTTGTCATCAGCAGTTCTCTGTTTCAAAACCACAGCCATTGGTCTACTGGGCTTTTCAATGTCTCGAGTACTCTCTCTTGACTATTGTCATTTGATTCACAGACAAAAAGTAAATTCAAGAACAATTCAGGTTAGGCAAGAGCAGAGGGAGCCTCATTAAGTTACAGTGAGACTAAAAGTATAACTTCTTTAAAACTCTTCTTGGGCTGTTGCCTTGTCATAAATCAGTTCCTTCTTACCCACTGAACACAGATTTCAATCTTTAAAAAAGACTTTGAGAAGGTTTTTTTTGTCCTCGGAGCCCTTCCCATACCTGCAGATTGAAATGGAGATTACAATATTGTCAATTTCTTACCTGACAAACTTTTTGAATTTAAGTTCTCTTTTCATTATTATTAATTGATTGAACCCAGGGCATCGTGTATGCTGGAATGTTCTCCACTACTGAGCCACACCCCAGACTTATCACTTATTTTTGAAAAATTATTTGGATAATTATCTCAGACCAAGCAATTTCTTGTGCTGTTATTGGGTCACAAAAATGTTCCAGAAGCAAGCCAGAAGCTGGGTCTTCAAACACTGGCTCATTAATTTATGT